TGATTCTATTTATATTCATAGAGTTTTGTTCTGGGACGCAGTTACTTGGAAACAGTTTGATCCATTTAGGTCTTGCTTTTAAGAATTCTTACATGAGACTATAGCAACATTTGGTCTAGGGCTATCTGAATTGAAGCAAGACCCTTTTGAGGACTCAATACTCCATGAAACGTTTTCCAGTCTGGTTGGTGGGACTATTCCCAGCACTGTGTGAGTGCTGGGTACTGTTTTCACTAATCCTTTCAGGTGGTTCTTTCACCAGCTTTGGGTAGTTTTCTCAAAAACATGCACTAATCAGTACTTCATTGAATACTCAAGAGGGACCCTACATCAGTATCTAGAGTTCCATCTGTGTGCAGCTCTCTTCTCTCTGGTACTCTTACCCTGAGAAGTCTAGCAAATTTGATCTCACTGGACTTTCAGCTCTGTCTCAGCTCAGAAATTCCACCAGAATATTCTTGTATTTCTCCTCCCTGCACAGTGGTTTCCATGCCAGTGAGCTGAGAAATGATAGGGCTCACTCATTGGCTTCCCAACGCTCAGGGATCTCTGTCCTTCATTGCCTGATGTCCAGCATCTTGCAAATCATACTTTCATATATATTGTCTGGTTTTCTGATTGTTTCAGATGAGAGGTGAATCCAATCCCCATTACTGCCTTTTAGCTGGAACAGAGTCCTCTTTAATTATTTGAAATATTGATTTTTAGTCTCTTCCTGATTTCCAATTACCTCAAATTCTTGGGATGTTAATCCTCATTTGCAGCATCTACAGACTTTTGTTCTTAATAAATCCTTTCCTCATTTTCTGTTATTTTTTAAAGCTTTAATGACCATTCCCCTCCCCTGACTTTGGAAATCCTAAGCGGCCTCCTGGATGGTGGAAGTGCTCCTCTAGACCAGGTACCCCAGGTAATTAATGTTGTATGTTAATTTCTCAGCTTGGAAATGTCTGCATCAAGTGGCCAGGGTGATTTTAGATTCTGAACCAGTGTGTAATTCATCTTGGAGTTTTGATTTCTAATGGAAATCACATAGAGCCCTGGGTAACAAGTTTCTCTTTGTGTTTTACCTGGGTCAGTGACAAAAATTTTCTGTCCCTTTTAACATGGTTAAAAAGCCCTTTCAGGGTCCCAGCTTTATGGATAGGTTTTAGTTTCACTCTCCACCTTGGCATGGCCAAGACTTCTTATCTCTTCTCCTTACACAGGCATTAAAACCCCAGTTCAGGTATTTATTAGTTTGTTTGTTTTTAGAAAGACAGGGTCTTGATTTGCCCAGGCTGGCCTCAAACTCTGCCTCAGGCTCCAGAGTAGCTGGGTCTATAGGCCTGGGCCAACATGCTGGGCTTAAAACCCAAGTTTAGAACCAAGTTTAGACTCCAAGATCACCATAACTAGTTTTCAGCTTGTTGGTCATTTTGACATCTGGGGATTTATTTTCCTTTCTGGAGTATTCATCTAGGTATTAAATTGTTCATATTTAAACTCAACATTTCTTAATAGTTGCAGCAGCAGGTATTCTATGTTGACTAAAAGTCTATCATGTTTTAGGACTGTAAGTTTCCCTCCCCCATAAAAGTTTAGACAAAAGTCTGTATATATATATGTAGATATGCATTATCATGAGAAGAGTTCATAACTTCATTCAAATTCTTAAATGGGTCTGTGACCCAAACAAAGGTTAAGAAGAATTGCTTTTAACCCTTTGATCCATTTGCCTAAAATTTCACAAGTAAAACGCTATTTATTCCTACAAATTCAAGAATTTTTTGAGCTTACCTTCACTACCATATCTAAGTATATTTTCTATATATTTCAAACTAATAAATCTTCATTTGTTTCTTATATCCTTTTTATATCCCTAATTGCAATATATTTTTAAACTTTTTTCTTTATTCAGTGATCAAGAAAGTGAAGATCCCATGTAACTCCCTTGAATGTGAAAGTCAAAATATATTTCAAGATGAAGGAAAAAGAAGGAGTGGGGAGAAAAGAAGAATTAGTCTAGGGAATTAATATAGTACATAGAAAGAGAGTGTTTCAAAAGACACATTCTGAAGATGGTTAAGATTTGAAGGCAGGAATAAGATGTTAGCCTTCAGAGATAGGGATCAGCAGCACTTCTGAGTTTCCATCTTTTTATAAAATCACTCCTTGATTAAATCACCTAAACTACTTGGTTTTTATTGTAGATATATGTAGATATACAGGGCAAAATGGACTGTTTGGCGAACACAATTTTTAAAAATAAATATATACATACATAATACACACAAAATATTTATATATATCTCAAATGTCCATTACAATTATGGTATTGAAATAGTTGGATAATTCAACATATATGTGGAGTAGATTAGGAAAGAAATACTCTTTATATAAGATTCCATTATCAGCTGGGAGAATAGAAAAATTCAGAATCAATTTTGTCAGCCAGGCTAAATTTTACTGAAATACACTATCTAGATAAGCATAAATAATTATATTATCCATTTCCTTGGAGAAATTATCAATACATACAGGTAGAAATCAGAAAAACAAATGAAAAATATAATTTATAAGACTGCTCTTCTATTTTGGAAAATAAAATAGCTTACTGTTTATGGTTGACATCCTGCTTTGACATTATTAAAAGAATTAAAAATCAGTATAATATTACTTATTCATTGCATTTGGTTCTTTCAATAGTATTATTATTAATTAGCAATAGCAATATTAAAGAAAAAGGTATAGTTTCTGTCTTCTAAGAACGTACTTTCAAGAGCTTTCTTTGAAAATGTTCCTTAAGTTGTAAGATGATTTGTACATTAACAGCCAAATCCTAGAAGCCTTGTCATGAGTTCAAAAGACAGACTTCCTATTTCATAGGTAAGGAAGCATTGCCTGCCCAACAGTCCACTTGACACGAGTTTTCCATTCAAAAGTACATATTTTCCATATAAATCTCTGCTAGCAACTAACAGCTGCCAGTCAAGAGGAGCCATTATATTAAGAAGTCTTACTGATATAGTAAAAAAAAAACCCACAAATATGGAATTCAAAATCAAACAGACAAAGCTTTGACTATTGGTTCAAAGTTCTTTAACATATGATCAATTTATTTATCTGAAAAAGTAGGGAAGTATTATACCGAAGGCATAAAATTGTTGTGAGAATTCTATGTAAAAATGCCAAGCTCTCAAAATACTAAAAAGAAGAAAATATAACAAACCAACAAACAAAAAACCAGTAACAGCTAGAGTAAGACTGTGGTACACAGCCCATTCTGACTCTTTTTCTCCTTTCCTGTGAGCAAATGCTGCCTAAGACTTTCCTGTATTACAAAATTAATGATGTGACATATTAAATTTCTATCATTTTAGTTATGGACCTCAAGGTTCTAAGTAAGGCCAAGTGTTCCCAAATCTACTCATTTATTAAATACCATCTATATTCTTAATACTCTTCTTATAGCTAGGAAACATTTTGTAAAATTCTCCAAAACTCCTATAAAATCCTAGATCCTGACAGATAGCAGTGAGAAGAGATTATCAACCCCTGGCTTTAGGAGTCTCTTGAAGTTTGATCCCTCGAACTAAAAATACTTCTGAAAGCTGGAAAAGATAAAAAGAGTAGAATCTACAGGAAAAAACAAAACAAAACAAACCCTAGGTAGCAAAATCTCCCCTTCTCCTGATCTAATCCCCCAGTTCCACTTGATCCTAGGACTTGAAAGGAAGCAATCCCATTATGAATTGAAGCAACACAATATCTTAACTCAAAAGTTATTTCCTTTGATGAGTAGGTATGCCCTAGTGGGTAATATATTTACTTTCTAAGTAACAATAGAAATTGGTGTTAGACACTTAACATTTCAATCTCAACAGGAACTATCTTTGTCTAAACATTTACTAGTAATTGAAAAGTAAAGGTTAATACCACTCTATCAGAATACTGACAAAGGAGTTAAATTCTATCACTCCAAAATGAAAAATTACAAATTTGTTTTCCAAAGATATTTCCCTATGAAACTCAATCCCTTTATTGGTAATTTACATGGGAAATTTTCTGGTTTGGTAAAAAGGGGGCTAAGAAAGTGTGTAACTTTGAACTAGTCATTTAACCTCTCTTAGACCAAGAACCCTCCTCTATATGATTGTTATTCAAAGTGTGGTCCATTAATCAGCAGAATTGGCAACCAGTTGGGAGCTTGTTAGAAATGCAAAATATCAGGTGTACTATACCCCAGAATAGAATACTACTATACCCCAGACCTAATAAATCAGAATCTGCATTTTTAACAAGATACCACATGATTTACATACACATTAAAGTTTGAGAAGCACAGCTCTACACAATAAGGGGATGCAACTAAGTGATCTTAAGTCCCTTATAGTTGTTCTGCATGAAAAATAAAATCTGACAACATCAGAGCCTATATTCTCATGTGGCAAGAGTCGCCTAGAGCTGAGTTAGATAGGGCATGCACTCTTTCCAGCTCCCATAGTCCTCATTTTGTCCCCTTCTTTTTTTTTTTTTTTTTTTTGAGACAGTCTCACTCTGTTGCTCTGGCTAGAGTGCCATGGCGTCAGCCTAACTTAGCAACCTCAAACTCATGGGCTCAAGTGATCCTTCTGTCTCAGCCTCCCGAGTAGCTAGGACTACAGGCATGCACCACTATACCCAGCTAATTTTTTCTATATATTTTTTAGTTGTCTAGCTAATTTCCTTCTATTTTTAGTAGAGACAGGGTCATGTTCTTGCTCAGGCTAGTTTTGAACTCCTGAGCTCAAATGATCCTCCCACCTCGGCATCCCAAAGTGCTAGGATTATAGGCATGAGCCACCATGCCCGGCTGGTCCCCTACATCTATTATCTTAACTGCTTGGTTCCTACTGAGCCTCTAAATTAGAATCTAAGCAGAATTGAGGAATACTCCTTTTCAGTAAAAAACTGATACCTTCAGAGGTAAAAATTCATTAGCTGTATTTTTAGGAGAAACGAAAAAAATTTTCACTTACCTTGATGGGAAGTAGTGAGGTCCGGGTAGGAAGTAAGGGTGATGAAAAGAGAATCTCGGTGGTGTCCCAAACAGAGTAGCCGGATGGCCAAGGGGAGGAGGCTGGTAGACATGCGAGTGTGGAATGGGAGGAGCCTGGGGGATTGGAGCACTTCTGGGACAAGTGGAAACGCTGGAATACTCCTTGGGAGGCTGGATGGTCGAGGTTGCAAATCTGGCATGGGCAGTACTTGCACTAGTTGGAATCCTGTTGGTGCTCTCCAGAGAGACAGGGGTCGGTCTCTTCACAGAGTGACTGGCTCCAGAATGCAGCCGATGAGTGTCCGTTTGGGAAGGCCCAGCAAAATGCTGGGGGGGGAGTGCTGGGCGGAGGGGCAGACTAGGAGCCTGGACAGCCACCTGGCCACTACTGGAGACGCTGGGCTGGAAAAGTGTGATGGGGCTTGGGCGCTGGACTGCAGGTGTGGGCAGCTGGATGGCAGGTGGGGCGTCACCTTTAGAAATAAAAATAACATAAGTGAAGAATTAATTGAGTCACTCCATGTTTTTCTTCTTTCAGTGAAATTTAATAAACTGTACAAGCAGAGGCCTTCATTAACCATATAACTTAATAGCATCATCATATCAAATCACTCTATTTCCTTTACAACATTTTGAACAAACTAAAGTCATCTTCTTTCCTTATTTATTTACATTTTTTGTCTTTCTTGACTAGACTCTAAGTGCCATGAGAAGAGAGATCTTTTCTGTGTTGTTCACTGTTGTATTCCTAAGGCATACAACATTCTGCCAGACTCAGAATAGGCTTTCAACAAATATATTTTGGATATATAAATAAATGAACAAAATTATTGATTGATAATTTGAAAGAATGAATACATACAAATGCTGGTATGCATATATACATGTTTCTAAAATTATAATATGAAACTACTGACAGTATTACCTTTAAGGAGCTGTCATCTAGGGGAGGGGATAGGGTAGTAGGAAAAGTTAGACTTTCATTTAATACCTACTATTTGAATTTTCTATATATCTAAATATATTAATTTTATGTTTACTATTAATAGGGGTGCCAGAGTAGTAAGATAGGTCATTTTTCTTTTATTTTGTAAACTTCTCTATATTAACTAAATTATAAATGACATTTAATTTTTTAGTTAGAAAAAACTTAAGGAAAAAATTAACAAAATTGTTTCACTCTATTATATTCAATGTAACTACAGAAGGAAATTCCCAAGTGAAACTAGGACTTGTCACAGGCCAATCATTTGTGATGGATATGAAGGGAGTACTATTGCCTGGCAGATAGGACAGAATTTTTAAAGGTAGGTGAAACAATTTGGGTTTTATCTTTCTATTCCTGAAGAAGACAGGGCTGTTGATTGAGTTACTGAGTTATGCAAATGACATACCTAGCCTAAATTTAATAAAACTGTCCTGAAGAAATACAGATAGATGCTGTAGTAATAGAGTCATGATCCAGTTTATTCTGATAGTTAGCTGTCTATTAATAAAGAAGATGCAGGCTGGGTGCTGTGGCTTATGCCTGTAGTCCCAGCACTTTGGGAGGCTGAGGAGGGAGGATCACTTGAGGCCAAGAGTTTGAGATCAGTCTGGGCAACACAATGAGACCCCATCTCTACAAAAAATAAAAAACATTAGCCAGGGATGCTGGTGCGCACCTGTAGTCCCAGGTAATGGGGAGGCTGGGGTGGGAGGATCACTTGAGCCCAGGAGTTCAAGGCTACAGTGAGCTATGATGGTGCCACTGCACTCTAGCCTAGGTAACAGAGCAAGACCCTGTTTCAAAAAAAAAAAAAGAAAAAGAAAAAAAGAAAGATGCAGTCCAAGAACAGACTCTGCAGTTAGAAATGTCTCTGTCAGAGGCTGAAAGAAACATGGTTCTTCTTTCAGCCTTATCTGTGTAAGACCTCCCTCTCCTTCTGTCTCTTCAGATAAGGCAGATAGTGTCCATCCTAAAGCTGGAAGTAGGGAATTAAGGGCCATATCCCTGTTTCAAGATGGCCTCTGACCCAGTGAAGTAGAGGAAGGGGGTGTAAATGAAGCTGCCCCTTCTCAGTTGATGAGGCTACATGGACTATTCCTCCCACGTGTAAGGCACAGGCCCTCATCTGGCCTTTCCTGATTCATCAAGCTTAAGGTAATTTCCCTTCTCCATGTTCCCTGAAAACCTTGTAAATCTATCACTTACCATGAAATTGTGTAAATCTCTGTAATTATTTGCACGTATGCCACCCCCACCACAATCACCAAATTGGGAGCTTGAGAGCAGGAACTCTGAATTCCTGTTTATATCCCAGTATCTAGCACAGAATGTGGTTAATAAAAATAGTTAAGAAATGTATGAATGGATGAAAGAATGAACAAACGAGACTAGAGCAGATAGTACTTCTACCACTGATCTGCTGTAAGGAGCTCTAAACCTCCTCTAAACAACTATGAAGCCAGGCTGACTTGTAAAATATGTCAAAATTTTATTACTGGGATTGTCACTGTACTCAAGGCATTTGCTGCAAAAATCTACCTCTGATACAGATTTCTTTTTCCTATACTCAGTATGAGGAGCTCTTCAGTCCTCAGTAAAGAAGTATAATCTTCCTAGGCAAAGGAAAAATAAATTATAAGAGCCATACAGAACCACTGATAAAGCTTCAGTTACTTAAGAAGGAAGGGACAAATCTTTTACTAAATGCTCTTTTCTACCAAAGATATTCCTATAAAAGAAGAGATGGCAATTAGGCACAGGGTGGTAAGCATGCATTCATATAATTCAACAAATACTCATTAAGCAACTAATATGTGCCTGGCACTTCTATAATTCTTCTTTTGCATCTTGCAAAAAAATAGAGACATAGAGAGTTATATGGAAATATAATGAAGATGCCCTAAATGTCAGAACTCAGGTTGCTAAGCAGGAGGTTAAAGTCTGCAAATCCAGTTACTTCTGATAAACTGTCAGTGAATAAGGAAGACTTGTGAGAAAAGCAAAGCTCTAATGTATCAAACTATAGATAAGGGATGGTAGAAACTAGTCAGTCACCTGTTTTCTCTACTTCTAGCACACAGCTAGATTACATTTCCAGCCTTCCTTGCAGTTAGGAGTGGCTGTGTGGCTAAGGGCTACCCAATAAAATGTAAGTAGAAGCAATATGCATCACTTTTGAGACTGAGACTGACACATGAGATCCTCCACGCTCTTTCCCCTTTTGGAGGTCTATGAAACCAGTACAGTGGCCTTGGATGCCACATATAAAAGACAGCAAAGCTATAGGGTAGAAGCAGCCTGGATCCATAAATCACTTTTTGGGAGAGAGCCATTTACCAACCAGAAACACCCATTTTGGACTTTACATGAGTAAAAAATAAGCTTTAATTGTGTTTAAACCATTATATTTTAGAACTGTTAAAGCAGTTAGCATTATCTAACCATTACATGAGGGAAAGAGCAGAATTTTAGATCCATAATATAGTATGACAAGGACAAAATAAAAAATTATAAATAGTTTTAAATAATTCCTGCATAACTCTCGCCATCCACTCCCAAAGGGGAAGAAACCATTACATATGCTGCACGGAAGAAGGGTGCAACCAGGCTTTTACTGTGTGGCTGGGATGACCAGTGAAGGAGCAGGGAATGGCAGAAACTGAGGACAGATCAAATTTTTCTACAAGAAAAAACTTTATAGAAGTAATAAAGACAGGATGACCAGCATTTGGCTGGGGAGAGAGAAAGGAAAGAGAAAAGAGCAAGAAACAGAGAGACAGATGGGGAATGGAGAATTGGGAAGAATAGTTAGGCAATTGCTAAGAAAAGTAGGGCTCTGAGCAGAGACAACAATAATGAGGAGCCCCAAGAAGATTTATGGTGTGTTGAGCCATGTGATTATTCTGTCCCTGCCTCCTCAAGAAAACTTACAATAAAGAGCTACATCACTTTTCAAGGAAATTTTAAGCCAGATTTAAGTGTCTTATGGACATAACACTCGGCTGAAATGGACCAAAGGCTGGAACAGGACGACTAGCTTGTTTGGATTATAACAGTATCAGAGTCATGGAAGTTTTTGTTTTGTTTTGTTTGAAGCAAGAAAAGGTGGATAAACTAAAATGGCATGTCTACTACCAAAAAATTAAAATAGTAGTAAATACTTTTTGAACTACAAATTTATAGAAAATTTACATAAAAGTGAAAGATGTCAACTGAATTAAGATATAATAAGGAAAACCAACTTCAAGCTTGAGAGATAACATGTAGAACAACAAAATAATTGAACCAGAAAATTCATATACGTACAAAGTGACATTTAAAGGTCAGGCTAAAATAAATATGGCTCTTACAAAAGTTCCAAAAGCCTTTACATGAATTTGAATACTAATATAAAATGGTGATAGTGGCATATAACTGGCATCAAAGATACATGGTCAAAGATATCTAAAGAGAATTCTGGACTATCATCCTATAAGTACTTTCAGAAACTAGAAACAGAAGAAAAGCTTGGGATATGGTATTAAATATGAGAGACAGAGTAAACATAATGTACTGGGCATAAAAATAATACCAGACAAGAAAGGTACTACAGATTCTATGAAAGAAATAGTGAAAGCAGTCGTATTTGTATCTATCATTTCTACAACGACCTTCTGAATTCTTAGATGGCAGAGACAATAACATTTTTATATTTTGTTCCTAGTAGAGGTTGGCTCATATTATGTACTCAATAAATATTAAGTAGTAGAAGCAGCTGGTAGGCAGGCATGCAAATGGAGCAGCACTGGAATGTTACTCAGAAGTATTCACTGAAATGGGATAATACCAAATTACACTGCCGGATTTCAAAAAGATTGACTGCATATCTTAATATGATAAAAATGTGCTGGGCAGAGCTGGTATAGGACAAATGACTGATTATTAGAACAGACAGTGAAAGGCGAGAGTGCCTGACTATGCTGGGAAAGAACAGGACTATAGGATCAGTTTTCTGCATCTTTCTCTTGAGCCTAAACATCTCGAATGTGGCTTTATTGCTATTGTTTGCTAAAATCATACATAAAAAACACTGAAAATACATACAATTCTAAGAAGTCAATTTCCAAAATATCTATACCTCTCAGCTCATTGGGTGGCTTTATTACCAGAAGGATCTGAGCAGGTAGAAATTGCAAAGAACAGTAGTTTTGTCCTAATAGGTTAAGACAAGGGATAGCAAGTAGCAACTGTATAAAGCTCTTCTTGAAAGATGGTTAACATTGGTTCTTGTAAAACAAACCAATAATGGATAGCTCTGTAACAAGTTTTTAAGATACTAGATTCTCAATTTTTGGTTCTCAAAATTGATGAACAGGAATGTCATAAAGAACTGATAATGGAGGAGAAATTTAGGGAGAGACAATATAACAAATCAAACATTTGGTAGAAAACAGATTACTTCCATTGCTTTTCTAGAGCAGTGAGAGACTGGTCTTAACAGATCAGTATCATTACTAAGTTCCAGGACAGGATGCCTCATACTCCATTAGCAAGGCATTCTTTTATGTTGATAGTAAAAAGACACTCCTATTTCCTATTGAATTACCTCAGTCATTTCCTGCATTATCTGTCTAATCTATGGGCTCATCCTGATTTGCTTAAAAGGTCTGAGGTTTCAGACATGGATTATTTGCTACTCTGGCAAACCAAGTGCTTTGATGTCTACTGAAATTTTTCCTTTTCCTATTTAATGTCCTCACTATCTCACATCTTGATTTTTTTCCCCTTAATTTTATTGTTCCAAATTCTTAAGTCTAATAGAAAGAAAATTTCAACTTAAAAGGTAAATTTTCATGCAGTTATCAAAAAAATAATAATAATCTACAATAAAACCAACTCACCAACTGGATGAGTGATGGTGTTCTGTAGGCTGGGAATTACCACAGAGTAGGTAGGTGAGCGATAAGGATAAATTGTTGTAGGATTTGTAGAGATGATATTCTGTGTGGTACCAGAAAATACATTGGAAACACTTAGAGGAAAGCGTTTTCGCTTCCCTGGACGAGGCTGATAAACCCAACCTATAGAAGAAGATAAACTACTTTTAATATAAATGTATAGACCCTATTTAACCTTTAAATAGTTCTTTTTTCATACTAAAAATACAAAGCACTTCAAGGTTTTTTAGAAAATAAGTTATGATCTAAAGTATCTTTTGCAGCTCTATGATACTATTTCTGCGAATGACTCCACTGTGTATTTTAACATACAAATCCATATTGCTCCTAACTTGTGGCCAGTGTTGTAACCCATAATTGAAAGGAAGATCAAATGTCTTACCTCCAATGACACATAACTGAATCTGTTGTAGAATCAACATCAAAGCCATTGAGCTTGAATCCCAAAGCCTTTCCTCTGTCTATAAAACAATGCCCCACTATGACATTATTCATCTCCTCCTGTTTCCTCACTTTCTATAAGACACAATTGTTTATATCTTACAATGCAATAATCACTAATGACCAGTCACTATTTTTATGCCTAGTTCAGGAAGAGTCACTCTCTTAGACTTGGCATCTCCAAGCCCACAAACAACTCAATTTCCTTCCAAAGTCAGAATGGTGGAATTAGGGCAATTGTATCCACTGTATAACTAACTGGAGGAATCACTGGTTACCTATAGATAGATGCTGCCTCTGATCTTCCCTCCTAGAACCTCTCTGCTCATATTGCAGAAAAAAAATTTTTCCCCACCATGCACAATCATGTTGGCCAAGTGCTGTGCATTTTCCCAAGCTTAATCTCAGTGTCCTTAACTGCTGGACAACAAGACTCACTTTATACCATATCATAATGAGGATAAATCTATCAATCAGAAGGCAGGACTATGTTTTGACCACTGTGTAATATTAAAATGGAGCATGGTGTTAATCCTTGATTCTCATTATCTTTAAGTGTGTAATTCATATCTTTTTCTGTTGCTATGATTTTAACACTTCTAGTATATGTAAAATTATAGCCTAGAACTCGGAAGATTTACCTTCATTAAATTTCTATTTCTATATATTTAATCAAAATCACAATAAAACTGTATGTCCCCTGGTTTTTATTAGTTGGTAAATAAATATGAGACCAGATATCCCCTTACTTGGTTCTACTTAAGGAAACTTATGCCCAATATCATTTCAATCATTACTATAATATTAGTCATTATTTTCTTTATTGCACATATTAGATTCGAAAAAAATTACACATTTTTGTCTTTCCATCTCAACCTAACCTAATCTTTATCTAAATAAATTTAAAAGAAATTTAAAAAATGCTTTGTTCATTTCATTTGATTACCAGGAAATTCCTCTCTGTGCTTTTCTTTAATCTTTTGTGCTTCATCATAATAGGGTTTCTTTTGTTCTTCACTAAGTTTGTTCCACTCTAACCCGAGCTGGACACTGATTTCTGCATTGTTGGCTGCTGGGTTAGCTTTGGCTAGTGCTGGCCGGTGGATCCTTGCCCAAACCATAAATGCATTCATGGGTCGCTTCACATGACCATTTCTGTCCTTACTGAAGGGAGTATCTGGTATTCCTACATGACAAAAATTAAGAGACTAAATTAATGTGCCACACACACACACAATTTTAAAGTGAAGTGCATCTCCATCTATACTTATTTTTTAAATATCTGGAGAAAATACACACTTCATGATAGCCAAAGAACTGCCAATATTCCAGAATTCCTTATAACCCTTGAAGTCAGCATTCTAAACTGTAGTTTAGAATGACTCCTTTTCCTCAAACAGAATAATATTATTGAAGATATTATGGAATTTATAATGTTGAAGACACAGTAAATTGCTGGCTTATTACTTCTTTGAGCTTTATTAATATCTCTAACAATAATTAACATTTAGTAATAGTTTATTTCCTACTAAAAATATTCTATCATTGGGGGGCAGGAACTATGATTTATTCATGACTGTAATCCTAGTATTAGGTAAGTGTTCCCTAAATGTTTCAAGGAACTCAATTACATGGTGATGATGTGTCCTTTCAAGCAAAAATATTTATAATATTATATTAATAATACTATATTGGTTGTATGCCTCTGTGAAGGTGAAGCTCCTACCAAGGTAAGTCATCAACACTAGTTCCATGTCCTGGGAGAAAAATAAGAGAAAAATAATAAAAGTGGCTTTTTGAAAGTCACAGAGCCAGGTGAAATTACAATAAAGAAAATTGTGTAAATTCACATTTCTTATGTGATTCATCAAAAATAGCTGTCTATAAAATTCTTATATTGTTTCTTTTAGGAGTAATCCTAAAAGATTTTTACAAATTTTTAAAAAATGCTAAGGATGAAATATGTAGTATAAAGAAAGCTATTTCCTTCTTTTAGAAAATGAAAACAAAGTCTAAAACTACCAAGGATAAAAGCAAGGGGGTAGAGTGGAGAGGATGAGTCAGTAAAGAAAATAATAAAGTTAATGAAAATAGGAAACAAAGATTCATACGACTTTCCAAGACATTCATTGGCAGTATTCTCTCTGAACTAAATCTTAAAATAAGAATTTTCTAACTTTATGTTTAGAAATATTGGATAGAAATAAAATATCTATTTGTAGTTGTTACTGCTATAACTATAGTTATTTGTTTTAAAAAATTTTTCTAGCTTATTCTACAATATTTTCATTTTCAATATTTCTAGTTTTTAGAATAAATATTAAAGTGTTACATTTAATCATGTATTATTTTCTCCTAGAAAAACGTTTACTGCTCATTTTTAAAGATGACCTCTATAATTGGTATAAACTTTCCCATTTAATTATAACTTTTTTCATTAAACACCATTGCTTCTTCCATTTCTTGATACATGTAAAAGCATTGAGCTACTATAATACAGTATTTTTAATCTTGATTATTTGTAGCATATAAACTTAAGGCTTTGTGTTGTCTAGCAAGAATATTTCTATTTTTGTGTATAGAAATTAGTCATATCTAAATCTCATCATTTCCTGGGTCTTAAAATAGATTTTTAAAAAATGTTTGGTAATCTTGAATACGTTAGTGTATTTTACTGGTATATGTACAAGTCAATCAGAAGTGATACCTGTGCAGACTTTGCCCTGAAAAGAATCAGTTCCATGATTTTATTTTTCTAGTTTAGGCTTCTGAACTGCTGACATGTCAGCTATGGGGCAACATAGACGAAGTTTTGAAAACCAGATTTCCCTGCTGTCTAATACCTGCGTCTGAGGGAAGCACGGTCAGTGGGACATCTTTGGTTTCAATTTTTACAGAAGGCTCCAGTAAGGATTGCATTTTAATAGGCACTGGTGTCAGGGGGACCTTGGTCAATCTTATCAGCTCTGAAGGTGGAGGTCCCTGAAATTGGATCCGGGCCCCCGGGGGAACGGTGTGGAGAGTCAAAGGGATCCTGAGGTCTTGCTGGTGTGGCCCAAAGGCGCTGGACGGCTGGGCCAAGATGACCTCCTTGCTGCCATGAATCAGGCCATTGGACGCGAGCTCCGTGCCTAGCCTGCAGTCCTCGCGGAGCCTCTCGGGCTCCTCCGTTTTGATGATTTCTTCGCGGACAGCCGCCAGGCTTTTGCCTTCGCTGCCTTTCCCCGCGTCCCTCATGGCCTCCTCTGCCTCCAGCTTGCCCTTCTTCGCGTCCCCGCGGCGGCTGTCGAGGGCCGGCCCTGGGCCTTCCACCTTGGCCGCCCTGGAGGCTCTGGAGCCCGCCTCGACGGCCCTCCGGGGCCCCACTCCCGCCGGGTCGGAGCCGGGACCTGGCTCCTGCTTCTCGACCTTAACGTGCAGCTCCCGGGGCTGCACCGTGTACAACTCGGGCCTGCAGGAGGCGCCCTCGGACGCGGGCGGCGGCGGCGGCAGCAGCAGCAGCTCGGGCCTCAGCGACACTAGCCGCGCCTGCGCGGGCGAGGAAGCAGCGCTGTCGTCCCGGGCCTGAGGCAGTGGTGGCCCTGGAGGCAGCAGCAACACCTGCTCCGGCTTCACCTGCAGCAGCCGCCGCGCCACGGGCTGTACGCCCGACGCCGGGGCGTCGCCGCACGACGAGGCCACGGTCGCAATGGCGGCCGCGCACGGAGCGGGCGGCGACGGAGGTGGCTCGACGGTCGCTGCCCGAAAGGAGGTGCCTTCGACCGGCAGCGGGGGCGGAGCGGGACGGAGCGGACGCGGCGGGGTCACCCGTGGCAGTTGGCGCGGCTGAGGTCGCGGCTCTGGCCTGGCTCTCTCCATGGGGGGAGGGGGACGCCCCGGCCTGTGTCCCAGCCGGGATTGTGAGCTCAGCCGTTTGTTGGCGGCCTTCCCCCTCCCCCTTTCGGTTAAGACCCTTCTAAGGCCTTTGCTACCCAGAACCCTACGCGGTTCAAAACGCAGCCCTCCGCCTCGGCCTCGCCCAATCACAAGCGTTCCTGGCCCTGCCTGCCAATCACAAGCGCGTTCTCTGGCCCCTCCCCACCTCCGCTCTCGCCTCGTGCGGAGCCTTCGAACCACCCGCGGAGGTAGGGCCTGCGGCGCGTGTTGGCCATTTTTCCCCTCTGACTCTCCCTCTCTTCCGGAGTTCTCTTCCGGCCGTTGTCCTTAGTTACCCCTCCCCCGCCCGGAGCCCCCCGACAATGGCGTTGCCCGGGAAACGGTCTGGTTCCATGCCAGTGACCTCTGGGGATAAAGTTGTGAGCCTCTTACTCCAGCTGGGGAACGGGGCCTTGTGCACGCGCTTTGCGCAGCCGCAATACACGACTGGCCCTGAGCATCACCAGGGGCTTTGGGTCTTTGCTAAGGGGGAATGGGGCAAAATTTGCAACTTCTCAGTAACCCCGTTAGTTGTTCTTGCTTGGAAGGGGCTCTGACTTTTTGCTTTCACTGTGCTAGTTAAACTTTCCATTAATCACCAGGTAATACATCCCAAATCTATCCATTTCTTTGGTTGTCCACTGCCATTACCCTTTTCTAAGCTTCCATCAACTTTCACCTGGATAGCCTTGTAAATTGTCTGTCTGCTTTTCACCCTTTTCATCCTACTACACTCCAGCTGCCAGTGATCTTTCAAAAATACAAATCTAGTACTGTCACACCCTGTTTTCCTAGATCTCCGTGGTTCCCCGCTGACCACATGACAAAGGTATAAAATTCTTGCCCAAACCTATCAATCCGTGAATACCTTGGGCTCTACCTACTACTATTCCTCACCACTCTAACCCTGGCTCTTTGGGCTGCAGCCACATTTGCCTCATTATTCTGTTTCTGCCTAGGGCCTTTGAACATGCCCAGAACGCTATTCCTTCCTTTGTGTTTTCTTACGTCCTCCTGCTCAGTTTTCAAAGTGCACATTGACTGGCACTTCTTCAGAAAAGCTTCCTTTGACTTTGAAAATCAGGTCAAATCTCCTTTATCTATTCATCACTTCATTTAAAGCACTTACCACAATTCATAATTATATATTTACTTAAGTGATTCTTCTAGTCCCTTTCCTACTTAACTACAAAGTCTTTGAAAGCAGAACTGTTTGTTCTGCTCACCATTGAATCCCCAGTGCCAGCCGTGGAGTCTGGCATATATTAGGTTATTAAGTATGGAATTTCCAATTTCCTTAAGTACTAAGTTTAACAGTTGACATCTCTGACATTTCACTTTTACACTTTTTTTTTTTTAATTGTGAAAGTACATCCTCATTCTTTCAAACACATGCTTTGGCTTGTGATTATCTTTCAGATTTTTATTAGAGCAATTTTTGTGAAACCATGGATAAGTCAAAAATTAGTATTTTTTTTTAATATGAGTTTCATTGTGGAACCAATGCAATACAGATAGCTTGAAATGCCAATGAAGTGTTTGGGAAGGATATGGCTAACGAACGCACAGTACATCGAAGGTTTGAGAAGTTCCATTCTGGTGATTTTAATCTTGAAAAGGAGCCATGTGGGTGACCTGAGACCAAGGTGGAGAATGATGAGCTGAAAGCTGTAGTGGAAGCAAATCCATCTCAACCTACGCATGAATTAGCAGCAAGGTTTGACATTACCATTCCAACAATATTAGACCATTTGAAACTGATGAGGTCCTGAAATTGCCAAACTATAAACATACCTATGTGATATAAGTAAATTTCTATAGTGTTGAATCTTTTGTTAGTGAAGTTTCCAGTTATTTGCAACCAAAAGCATTCAAATTTCTGGAAAAAGGAACAAAACTAACTTTCATAGAACACTTAAATCATGCTTGATTTTCTATGAATGTGGTTGGCTACCTGCAATGTTAGGACATAGACCTTATCTTAATCAATTCCTAGCACCTTCTACAGTTTCTGATTTAAAATAGTTGCTTACGAAGTGTTTATGGAACGAATGAATCAATGGCCAAATGAATGGATAAATGAATCAGAGATCAACAGGATGATCTGATTGGGGGCAGTGTAGAAGGGTTGATTAAGAGCATAAGCTCTTGTATATCTGGCTTCCTGTCCTGGCTCCACCACTTATAACTGTGTGACCTTGGGTAAGTCACTTAATCTCTGTGAGACTGTTTTCCCAGTTATAAAATGGGGATAACAACAGTATATACTTAAAATAACTGTTGTGAGGCTATTAAACAGTCTATGTAAAAGGCTCAACACAGATTTGGTACCTAGTAACCACTCACTATGTTGGCCATTACAATTGGAGAGAAATAGAGAACAGCCAGCAGTGATTCCAGATTGTCAAGCCTGGTTGACCGGGAAAATAAAGACAATCTGACCAAAATTCAGTGTGGAAATGGAAAAGATGATGTTCAACTTCAGATGTATAAAACAATGCCTAAATATAGTTAGAGAATGAAGACATATTGGTTATATTTATACAGATAAAGTAACTCTACTTAAGTTCTGATTTATATTACAGTTACTCATCCTGAGTTTCTATAATTACAGAATTGTACTTTACAAATATAGTAACTTCAAAAGGAGGATAACTTTTGGATTGTATCCATGATGACTGAAATCCAGGGGTAGGAGTTGCTGAGATTTTGCCTAAGAATGTATTTTCAAGTGGTAATATTCAAAAACAAAATATCATGGACAAAAAAGATTTCCTTAAATGGTATAGACACAGGCAGTGTCAGTGATATAACATAGTTCAGTCTCTGAAATCCTTTGAATTCCCTTCCCAGTTTAATGTTTCTTCAGAAACTTCTATGCAACAGAAGAAAACTATGCCAGAAGGGGAAGTTCTGTGTATTAGTGTCCAAGGAACCACTTTTATTCTCCAAGTAGCCAAAATGAGTAATAAAAATCAAGCATGAGTAGTAATATTTGTCATGCACCCTTTTTGTCCATTGCTAAAATAAAAGAGAAGATCTCATTGAACTCAGATTAGGAAATAATTCTTCCTAAACACATAACTCATGAATTATTTATTGGATTTTCTTCTGTGTTTAATTTCCATTGCATGGCAATGAGTAACAGTATAAACCAAATAGAAAGTCAGTTCACATTGCAGATTCCATTTTTAGATGGGCATGAAGATTTCAAATTCTTTTATTCAATAAACCGGCTCAGTCACTGGAAAAAATTAAATTGAAATATCTGCCTGTATCAATCTCTCTACCAGCATATGGCCCCTTCAGGGCCAAATTATTATAGGCCACTCACATGCAGCCCTATAAATAACTCCTAGTTATGTGGTGGAATTTATACTTCATTGAACATGACTCTGCCTCTTTATCAATAATAATATCTTTATATTATTTCAAAATGTCTTAATATCTTGCCTTTTCTAAAAAGGATTGAAACTCTTTGTGATTTAGGACCTTAAACCATTTTGTGGACATCGAATTATTTTTTCTTTTTTCATTCAGCTTTTCCTTTTAATCAACAATGCATATCTGAAATATCAAGATAAATTCTCAGTTGGCCTAGCTATGTCTGGGTTTTTTTCACCCTCATTTACCCTTCACACCACAGCCAGATTAATTTTCCTAAAACACCTTGCTAGATCAAAGCCAAAGTCCTTAGCTGTGCTTAATATCCTTAAGCCTGATTTTGTCTCTCATGGCTTTCCTCCTCCCTGCTTTCCATTTTTTTTGGGCCTCTACGTGTCCCTCAATCTGTCTTGCACCCCTGAATTTATCTGGAATGTCATCCTATTCTCTTTCAAGTTCATCCTGTCTATATGAATTGCTTTTGATCCAACTCAAACCTGATAAACAAGATGGTGAGTGGGATTTTTCCTATTATTCTGAATTTATACCTGTGAACTAAAATAAAATTTTAAGGCTCACCCCCCCCACTGGCTGACTGAGTGGACCCTCCTGTGGCCAAAAGAATGTCCTAAAACTAAATTATTTGCCAGGAGGAAGGAGGTCAGACATGCCTTTTCATACCACCTCCCCCCCCCCCAACGGCTCTTAGAGACATCCTTTGTAACCCATTAACAGGCCTAAGGGTATGCAAGACAAACCTGCAGGTCCTCAATTGACACAACAAATCTATATCCTGTGGCTGGTCTCTGATTGACAGACCTCATTATCTTAAAACATTCCAAACGTTTTGACAAAGCTTCATGTCTTTAACCAATTACAAGCCAAAAAATCTTCAAACCCATCTATAACCTGTAATGTAATCTATAATCTATAACCCCCTTTGAGATGGCCCACCTTTTCAGCCCAAACCAATGTATTCCTCCCACCTATTGATTTATGATTTTACCTGTAACAGCTGTCTCCCTGAAATGTCTAAAACCAAACTGTAACACAGCCACACCGAGTCTGCCTTGAGCAAGGCTCCAGGTCATGGTCCTCAATGTCGGCTCAGAGTAAATCTCTTTAAAATTGTTTTATAGAGCTTGGCTTTTTTTTCCCCATTGACTTACCAAAGGCCCAAAGCTGAGAATATAAGGAATGAAATAATTCACTTCTAAGATCAAAGAGATGCTAATAAGCCACTAGTAGTTTGCCTCCTTAAAAGAAAACCTTGCAAAAGAAGCAGGAACCAGATGTGCTACATTAACCACCTACCCTGTATGAGTTGATAGAAGAATAGGAATGAGAGGGAGAAAGTTGTGTGCTTTGAGGGTGCACAGTACTCATAACCACTCTTGAACACCAATACTGGAACATTTTTCCAACTGGAAAGTTATGAGAACTGGTCAAGGTTCTTTAAGGGAATTGCTAACCAGCAAAACAGGAGAACATGTGACAACAGTTACTGGAAAGAAAGAAAGTTACCTTTTATTTATGCCTCCAATGAATTGACACTTCTAAGAAACCAGTTACAAATATCCAAAAAAACCTGATTGGCTCAATCATTCAACAAATATTTATTAATTGCATCCCATGTGTCAGTCACTGTGTTAGGCACAAGGGATATATCTTTGACAAATCTTAAGCTAAGTCCCTTCCCTCCAGGAACTTGTAAGATTCCATGAGTAGCGCTGGCTTCAGGCATGGTGCTCAATGTCATCACAATTCTTTTTCCCCATCTCAGATTTTCTTTCCTTTGTATAGACTTAAATCTTGGGCAGTCTCTTCCCTCTGGAAGGCAATGTGTAACAATCCTAATGGAAAGAGAGCCTCTTTCTCCTAGTTATTCTAGCAAAGTGC